ATGAATTTTAAAAGCTATTGTGCATGTGTCAGGCTCTTACTGCTGGTCTGCGGGGGAGTTCTGCTGGCTGACTTTGTTACAGATGTGTTGGAAGGTCTGGCTCTGTCGGGCCGAGCGTCGCTCTTCTTCTTTGACGGTGAAATAGAGTTTCCTCTGAAGGTCGGTTGCTTCCTCCCTCTGCTTGGACAGCTTCTGCTCCAGAACCTGACACAGTTTCTACACAAACATCTCTCTCTCAGACCATGTTTTCTGACTGAAGCTAATAATTGACAATATTCACCATTTATTAGTTTATTTTCATATATGTCTGTCATCATTGTGTGTTGTGGACCTACCTGCTGCTGCTGCTGAGTGTGGCTGTGCTGCTGGACGGCCTTGCTGAGGCAACGGTCCTCCAGGTCCTGGACCCTGGTCCTCACCACGTCCAGCAGCCCCTCCAGCTCTGTGGCCCTCTGAGACTGCTGAGCGGCCCCCCTCATGTGCTCCTGAACCTCCTCTCTACACAGTGTACACACATGCACAAGATTCACTCTAACAATCAAACAAGTGCATTGTTACATTCTAAAAAGCAAGATGCTGCAAGTACATTAGCTTCAGTGATCAGCGAGCCGATTGGCCGATGTCTGATGTTGACAAAAAGCATTCTGACATAGCATACAGTAAATTCATTCAAACGATTGCTTGCCCTGGAGGTGTTGTGGAGAAATAAGAGCAGTGTTCCAGTCAGCTGCTCTCCCTCTGCCCACTAGCCACCTGGCCTTCAGCCCCCCACCCCCACTGAGTGTTCATACCTGCACTGAGCTGTATCTCTGTCAAACTCCTCTGATGAGATGAGATAGCAGGAGGACAGGTGGTCTGCTTATGCATTATTAAGTAGATACGGACACCATCAGTAACATCTACTGCAGGCATGTACACTGAAAGACCCTCAGCTGTTTCAGATCAATCTCATTAATTCCATACATTCCAGGAGGATGATGCTATTTTATATAATGACATTTTCATATTTAACCTTATGCAGCTAATAAACGGATTCCTGTTTGACTACAAATATCTTATTTGATGTCAAAATGGTACTTAAAATAATGCTTCTCTCTTGGGATAAACCTCTACATTTCAGGATGAATTGGTTGGCAGTTTGACTAACTTGAGTTCGCTGTTGGACTTGATGAGCTCCTGGATTAGAGCCTGTCTTCTGTCCGAGTCTGTGAGCATCGTCCTCATAGTCATCCTCATCTCACCAGCAGACTTCTTGTCAAGCAGAATCAGATCTAAAGACACATGAAGATTCACACAACATATACATATTGTCTATTCCAAAAGAAAAGGTATCTGCAAATCTCTCTTATAGACAAATTAAATTCAATACATTTATGTAAACTCAGACATGTTGACAAGAGATGGGAGCTATTGCCTCTTACCAGAAACATTCCTATTCTCTACAGGATCTGCAAAATACACAGGCTTAAATCCGTGATGCTGCAGAAGTTTATTCACCCCATCCCATTCTGCCTGCTCCTCCTGAAACACACACACAACACAATGTACAAGCAAACATTACAAAGCAATGTGAAGCTGTTGACGACGTCTGAGCTCTACCTGAAACTGCCTGGAAGTCCACAGATAAACATATGTCTTATTTCTTGTTGGCAGCAAAGTAGCTCTCCTGCTGTCCATGTCTTACACTGCAGAAACAACTCAAAGTGTCTGCAGGTCTTCCAGCTGGAGGGCTGAACTACAGGCAGCAATGAAAGGCGATCCACGCCTCCACACACACGCCTCTTCAGCAGCGGTGGAATGCTATAAAGTACTGTATTATTTCATTTAACCTGAGTATTTTCAATTTATGCACATTTATACCCCTACTCCACTACATCTTGGAAGCCAATGATGCACTTTTTGACAGCTTTATATTTACTTAAGATTCACATTATTAGCAAATGCAAAATTAAATCAACTAAGATATAAAAATGATATGGTAACCTAAAAATATAGGTTAACATATCCTACTGTTGTTTTATATTTAATTTGCTCAACCTTTCCCAGTTATGAGACATTAATGCATAAATAATTAAGTTATTTAATATGCAATATTCTGAAATAGGCCATTAGGATTCCATTACTTTTGTACTTTTACTTAAGTAAGATTCTGAAAGCAGAAATTCTACTTGTAACATAGTATTTTCATTACTACTTAGATCTGAGTAGCTTTCCATGAGTTTAAACCGACAAAAACAAACAGAAATGAAGAACCAGCTGATAGCTTATTGATATGCAGTTCCTATACAAAGGTCTAATAATATTAGTATATAATGACCCTTTATTACTTTACTTTTGACGTCCTTTACTAGCTTAGTTAGCTCGGTTAGCTTCTGGCTGTAGCTTACAAGGTACCACTTCATATTAGCAGTGTGTCTGGTCCTGCAAGAGGTCTTTATGAATGAAAATACGACATTAATTATTATTTATTACCATTGTTGGTGTCGCCGTTACCAGCTGCAGAGTTGTCCGATAGTTTTGCACCTTTATACAGTCAATGTTTGTGAACTAATAAGCGTAACTTCACTGTTTATGTCAGGCATTTACGTTTCATGTGTGGCTCTTCCGTGATTCAAACAATTGCGCGCTGACGTCATCGTGCTTAACCAATGGGATGTGGCCGTTTAAGTCCTTCACCAATCAGCGTGTGGTACCAACTGCCAAAAAGGTTTTACCTAAACTTTAAAGCCTTCCTCTTTCTAAGGCACTGGATGTACACAAGTCTTTTATTCAGTATATCACAAAGATATAACCTTGAACTTAGCCATATTGAAAGAAAATCACATTAATTTTGATACCAAGTACATGGTCATTCAATAAAAATGATTTTGTGTTCTCAGAATGAATACAGCTGCACTAAACACCAGTTACCACAGGATGGCAGACATGTCTCAGCGCGTCTGCACAATGCAACATCTACAAATATCTCAACAGTATTTAAATCTTACTGCCTTCTCCCTGTATTGTTCAAACAGTTCATCCTCATTAATGTGCACATATGCTAAATCTATTTAAAGGAGGGAGTGATTTTGATGTGTAGCTTAAAGGTCGAGAAACTAAACTAAAGTAGGCTATAATAAAACCATATTCATCACACAGTATGATGACACAATAGTCCATGTACATCAATATGTTTACATTCAGGTAATAAATAGTCCAATTAAGTGATGTTGTTTTTTAAGCTTGAGTTGGAGCCTGGGATGAACTCAGTGGTCCAGGTAGTATGGAGGTAACGTAATCACCCGCCATAAATCATACAGCACAGGTCAATGGGACCCTCGACTCCATCAAGGCCTACATTCCCATTTAAATGTTCTGCTCAGTGGAGTTGATGTATGTGGGGACACAGTGAGTAGCCAGGCTCTCGCTGCCTCTATTCAGGAACAGAGGCTGGTGACCTTTCCTCTCTGGATCCGTGAAAACGAGACTCTGGTACATTAGGGCCAGGTACAGTAGGTGCTCCACAGCGAGACCTCACGTCCAGGGAAGACGAATGTCAGACAGCATGTAGGGCGACAATGACAAAAGGGGAAGAAAATCATCTCCGAGTCATAATATTACCATAATATATACTTGGAAATAAGAAGGTGGTGGGATTAGTTTATGCTTGTCTGCTGAGTGCTGCGTTACTGTATGTACATTCAGTTCGTGCAGAGGCCCATTAAGTGGCTAATGGGGTTTGATCGCCAGGGAAACGAGCCGCGACAAATGAGAAGATGTCCTAATGGGTGGACCACCCAGCCACAGAGTTTGATGGAGGGGGACGAGACACCCCGGCTCTGCTCCAAATGTGCTTCTTCAGCTTCAAGATGATAGTCTACTGCGGTATTTTTCAGAAAGTAGTGCAAATCTAATCTGCTGAGTTAAACCAACAGTGATTGTATCAACTACCAATGGGCACTTTTAGTCAATTGATTTTAATTGTGGATAGTAGCTCTTCGCCAGCAGGGCAGATATATCTTGATATATCTGGAATCATCAGAGCAGAACAGAATTGCTAAGAAATGACTTCCCAAGTATTAAAATGTGTAGAGGACAGGGCCTGTTCTATGGCCCATGTCAGAGGCTTAGCCAGGGAACGTAATTTGCAGATACAATGGGGAAGGTGGAGAAGTATAAAGAGCTGTTTTCACTAATCCCACTTCACTTTGAAGCAGTTTCTATTTTCTCTAATTTGCAGCTCAAATCCCACTGCCTGGAAATCCTGTTCCGAATTTTGCTCTTGTTTGTGACCTATAGGAAGAGGAATGGAGCCAGAGGTTTTGGCAAAAACACATCCCAAAAAACGGTCAATATAGCAAAGCATGTTTTTGCAGGGGTCTGTTCCCTGGTTCTGCAGAAGACAGGTAATCCACACACAGATTATCTTCCTCTGTCATGTTGCACAGGTGCTGCAGGCTGATAGGACACACTAACAGGCGTCTGTGGAGATGGCGCTCAAAAAAAGCTTAAAATAGACAACGAAACAACAAAAGCAAGGCAGCAAGATTTAACTAAACGCCATCATTTTGACACCTTGACTGTCATGCTGTGAAACAGAAAGTTGTGCTTTTCACAATAAATGTTTTCTTTTGCTTCATATTTCTGGCTCTTGAGTGGGTTGTATTATATTTGCTGTAGGTGTATTGTATTGATAAATTGCGCAAATAAATAAAATAGCATTGATAATGTCATAATACGAGGTGAAAGAAGTACCAATATATTATTGTCAAATTATTACAAGTAAAGGTCCTGCATTCAAAATCTTACTTTAAAGTATAAAAACGAATTATTATGCATTGTGTTATCTCCCTTTAAACTGGAGTAGAATATAAATGAAAATACTCAAGTAAAGTACCTCAACATTTTAGGTAATTAAGTACAGTAAATGTAACTCTAAGTACCACCACACCTACATTGGGAGTCCCAATGTGTGGTGGTACCAAAGCAGTGGCCTCAATTAAAAGCAGACAACCATCCACATGACTGTAACAGCATTTTATTAAATCTCTAGCTCAGTGACTTGACTCTACATATTTATATTCATAGTTCTCATGCTTTACAGGCGGAGCTCATGCATCAGGCCCCACATCTGTTCATGTAAAGTAGTGAGGCTCACCCAGCACCAACATGTGCACCGTTCACTCCAGCTTTACCTCACAGGCAATGGAGAAAACAGTTTCTCCCTTTGGAAACCCCTCTAAAAACCCAGAGGGCCCAATCTGGAGTGAGGAACAGGTCTGCACATGCTCAAAGGTCAGACACATTTTCAGCAATACATAGAAGCAGGAAGATTTAAAAAGAAAACAACTGGTTAAGTATGCCCTGTGTGTGTTTGGAGGAGATTAACAGCAAATAAAAATGACAGAAAAAGGAATTTACAACATTAAAAACACAGTTCTAAATACAAGCTAGATCAGGACATGGAGTAGAGATCATTTCGGTGCTTTCGAGGACACAGGTCTGTTTGGTTTGAAAGAGTTGAACATCACACATCAACACCACATAGAGGCAGATCACAGGAATACAAAAGTACATCTGAATGAGTGTAAAACAAGAGAGAAAATAAAAAAAGTGTCATCTGCTGACATCTTTGGTGAGCTTTTACTGGTGGTGACAGTGACATCACTCCTGCATCGCTGCATATGGACCATCACTGCTGTTGAGTTTCATTGCATAAGGGTCATGACCCTGATCTAGTGCAACACGACAAGAGACTTTAATTGGTTTGTCGGATGTGAAAGAGGCTAATCGTACTCAAATGCATCATGACATCACATAGGAACAACTAAACAGTCCAGAAAAAGTTGTGACACCGTTTCAGAGAGCTCAAATGACACATATCTATTCTCAATTTCTACCGAGTGAAGTAATATAAAAATATATGTTATCACTTGTTAATTGTTGTGAAAGCAACACCTATTCATTTATTGTTTATTTATTTGATTGTTCATGTTTGTTCTAGTAGTAGTTTAATGTGCTGGGGTACTATTTAAATATTTGTTTTAAACTCGATGGATACCTCGCGTTTTTACTGCAAACCAAATCAAAATAACCTGATCTTTTTTTGTATTGTGAAAAAAGTGAAGGTATATGAACTTTTTAGCTACCTTGACTTAAAAAACTAATATATTATGATTCCACTTTAATCCATCCTTATAGTGCCGTCACTTTTAAAATGACACTGTGTAACTTTTAAAGGAGAAATAACACAATACTCCTTTTCATACATTACATACAAACATGGTGTTTTCCCCTTGGCTCCCATCAGGTACACCTAGACCAAATGTAGCTGTTGAAAAAGCCTTTAAAACAGGAAGCTGTGTGTTATTTCACAGACACATTCACATGCATGCCTTCCTAATGTTGCAGGATTGTGACTCCACATGTTGGGGATCTGTAGAATCGCATTCTAAAGTCTTTCCTGTCATTCTAGACTTCTGAGAAGAATGGAAATATGTTTGTAAGAACTGCAGCAAAGCAGAAACAACCCTTAGGAGGACCTTTCCAACGTATCACAACACCGACACACGATGACAAACCTTCTACTGAATCAATTTGGTATAATCACACATGCAAAAGAAATACATCCCTATTTTTATACAAACAAGTGCTAAAGAGTTTCCATTCCCAATGTCTGTTTTTACATATTTAAAGTTGCATAAGTTTGTGCTGGCAGAGGGAGGAGCTATAGAGCTTCAGGCCAGTCCATGACGACGCACACGGAGGATTCCCCGTACAGGAAGTGAAGCAGCAGTCTGTTTCCTGTCTCAAGTGTTGAGAGAGAACAGGTCCTGCTCGATGGGTTTCTTCACCCAGGCGCCCAGGCCCGCCTTGTGGAAGGCTTTGAAGAGCGACTGCTTGGCATCGTGGTACTCCACCGCCGCCAGCTTGGCGTCGCTGTAGCTGATGGGCCGCGGCGCGCTGATCCGCAGCGTGGAGGACAGCTGCATACACACAAAGAACACACGTTAGCTGTGAGAATAATGAAACTACATCAGAATCAGAAAAGGATTAAGTTGTCCAGCAGCGAGGACATTTACAGCTAACGGACAGTGCAGATAAGAAACTTGACTTACGTATTAAAAAAAGAGGCAAGTTAATAAAAATAGTCTGTAGATCAGGGGTGTCAAACTCAATTTCTTCGCGGGCCACATCAGCATAGTGGTTGCACTCAAAGGGCCGGTTGTAACTTTAAGATAATATATCAAAATACATATATAAATATTTAATATATATAAAATAATGTATTATATGACATTATTGCCTCTGCATTGTATTATTATCGGATAGGGTAATAACTTCATAATTAACTATGTCTGAAAGCAGAAGTCTAGGGCAAATCATTGCAGGTCTTTTCACTGAGAATGTTACAAAATGATTTAAAAAAAATCTAATTCTGAGAAAAAGGCAAATTCTAAGAAAAAAGTCAAATTTGAGATGCATTGTGGGATATGTAGTTTATGGGCAACGTGCTTCTGTAAATCGGCATGTAACCGTATAATAAACATATTATATTCTTTGCAAGCTCTTGAGGGGCCGCATGAAATGAAGTCGCGGGCCGGATTTGGCCCCCGGGCCTTGAGTTTGACACCCCTGCTGTAGATGATCTCTTACTTTACTATGGTTAAATAAAACATGGGCACAAAATAAAACATATGTAACAAGAATGATTAAAAAGTCACAAAAGCACTTAGCTAAGAGGATAAATGGTAAATGGACTGATTTGTAAAATGATTCTGTACTGTTAGCAACCACGGAAAGAGCTTTGAAACTTAACACACACTAGTGGCAGAACATAGGAATCAAAGCAGCATCATATAAAACATATTATTTACAATTATAAGTATTCACTTGGCAGGTGGGATCTAAGAATCCAACCTACAGCAGATGAAGGAGAAGTCACAGATAAGTGGCTCGTCCTGATATAAAGGTGTGTGAATGAGAGAGGCGGAGTTTGGGAGGGGGGTCCCGGAGGGGGTGGTGTTACCTTGCAGTGCAGGCGCTGCCAGCGTCCGAACAGGGCGTGCTTACAGAGTCTGGAGGGTCTGCTCAGGTCGTCCTTCCCTGTGGTGGCGTTGATCACCTCCAGCCCCGGGTCCCCCACCGTCCAGTTCACGCTGAAGTTCGGAGCTTTCCCCGGCTGACGAGCCTCCGCGTTACTTATACCTGAGGGGGAGAGGGGATGGATTTAACTCACTATTTTTACATCATTTTATACTCCCATTAGATATTTCAGAGGCAAATAGCGTCATTTTGACCCCACAGTTAATAGCTCACAAAGGACATTTTGAGTTTATTAATAATCTTGAACAGTCCTAATTTAAATTGGTGATTGTCGACTGGTAAACTTAAAATATTTTGAATTTCCTGTCTTCCTAACATACTTTACTCTATCTGCCTGAGACCCTGTCCTCTGACCCCCCCTGATCTCCCATCAAACCCTCGCTGCTCTTCAGTGAAGGAGCTCCAGATGTGTGCGGACAGATGAGTGGGATCATGGTGGAGTGTGTCTCACCGCTGAGCAGCGGCTTGTTCAGGCTGAACGACGGGGGCAGCTCCTCCATCTCCGTCACCCTCTGGTACATGGCCCTGGAGAGGTGGTCCGCGTGGTACAGGCTGCCCAGGATGATGCTGGAGAAGTAGATGGCGTCCGTGAAGTAGCTCATCAGAGAGCCTTGGAATCCCACCACGTTCCACCTGGAGGGGGACCAAACACCCATTAGTAAGTCCCAAAGGTTTAGGCAAGGCAAGGCACGTTTCTTTTTATAGCTCAGATATTCAGAGCTTAATAACTGAACGCTGCCTCTACATGTTTAGTTTTGACTCTGGGGACAGAATGTAGACCCGTCCTGGGTGTGACCTAAAGATTACTACATGATCTGATGTCTACATTGCTGTTTCAGGAGCTGTTATGGCTTGGTTGCGATTCATCAAGTGGTCTAATCAAAGCTCCAGCGGCCTGATGGCCCCCCGAGGACCCGAGCTGGAGTGATTGCAGCGCGACACGGAGATCATTCATCCTCTCCACACGTGCACATCCTCATCAGATCGTAGTGGTCTGCTCTAAAACACCCTTCAACACCTCAAGAGTGTCTGCAGGGCAGCAAGGTAAAGCTGCGTGAGAGGTTATGTTGATTCAACTGCTCAGACTCAAACGGCTTTTTTAGTCCCAGGAACATCGCTACGTAGTGTAGCTGCTGACAGTGTAGCTGCTGACAGTGTGTGTGAGGGTCGGGATACAACACACACCTGGCGATCTTGTCGCTGCAGGACATGGTGAGCAGCCTCTCCCCCTGCAGGACCCCGTCCCACGTCTGGATGGTGTTGCTGGAGCGCACCGGGATGGTTCCCTCTCCAGACTCGATCTTAGTGCGCAGCTGTCCCCGGGCCTTTCTGTTCGGGTGTCTATCCCCATAATCTGAGTGGGGGGGGGGAAGAATACACTTTAGATCTTTTGGTTTGCAAATTATGTTCATGTATCTTCATCATAATTCTTCCTGCGTACCCTCTACTCCGGCCTCGTGCGGGGAGAAGATGCGAGCGTCTCCACACGGGGACGTGCTGATGTACAGGTGGAACTGCACGTTCTCCTTCAGTCTGAAGCCCTGTATGCTGTCACACCGGATGAAGATGGACTTCTGCTGCTCCTCCTCGTGGCTACTGGAGACACGTAGATTAAGGGAGGTTTGACATGCAGGAGACGAAAAGGGATGAATGCACAGCAAAACTGCACAGCTGTTCCAATTAAACATTTGGGAATTCTAAAATAAAAGACAGAATTCCGATAATAAAATTAGATTTCTAGAATTATTATTATACACCAAATAATAAACCTGATTCTGATGCACATTAAGCTGTAAGAACTATCTTGATTCTCTGATATTCCTTGAGATTTCACAAACGTTCTAAATCAAAATTCTGCTTCTTCCTATTGTGGTAAGAACTGTAGCCGTGTGTAGACACAGAGTGTGAGTGTGACTGACCTGAGGAAGTGCTCCAGCTGCGAGTACAGGAACCTGATGAGCGAGCGGCGAGCCACGATCTCAGCGTGGCAGTCATTGAGAGCCAGCCCTCTGTCGCTCATGTATTCACCGTTGATGCACTTTGTCCCCGTGGAAACGCAGATCACCTGAGCCTCCTTCACATCGGCACCTGTACGCCAAAGGAAAGAAGTCCTGACATCGTACATAAAACTGCTGAGTCAGGTGTTCTGTGACCATCCCCAATGAAAATGCAGCTAAAGACAAATAATGCTGCAGCTCCATTGGGTTTGACTGACACGAAATAAATCACCTGTTGTCATGACGACCCCTGACAAAACTTTCCGCCGAGCGTGCGGCGACGTGAAGTTGTCCGTCAGTTCGCCGAACTTGTCGACGACCAGGCGGGAGACGGCGTCTGCCAGAACCTGAGCACCAAAACAAATCAAATGATTATACATGAAGCAAAATGATGGAAAATGAAACTTTGAGCAAAATGTTGAAAATGGGGACTGCGGCTTTTGGGTAATACAAAGACGAAGAGACAACAATGCGATAAGAAGAAAGTGAAAGCTCTTCTTATCTGCCCCGGAACTATTATTGAATATTTCAATTAGGAATGCTGCACTGGTGTGGATGACAGGCAGGATGTGAGCGGCTTAGAACAGATCCTCTGTTTCACTCACTGCTCTGGAAGTAAAGCGGAGAGACTGCTATAATGAGCAGCAGTGTTTGAATAGCACTCACAGGGTGATGCTAATTAAGATAGCAGCTGTCTTATCAGTGTGCATGGATTACAGCCGGGGATTAGCCTATGTGTAAATAGATTCCCAGTGAATTGGACTTGTCTCTCCTGAAGCCGTCTTCACTCACACTTTCAGGTTGGCTACGAACAACCGTCTCGTAAGACGACAGATCTAACCTGGGAGCTACTGTCAAATCACGACATGCCTCAAAACTGCTTTATGGTTATTTGCCGTCTGGTAAACCACTAAATATGACGTTAACTTGCAGAGTTGGCAGACCACATGTGCAACCTAACACATCTGGATAATGGACAATGTAGATTTTTAGGTAATAGTATTGGGAAACCCACATTATCTAACGTTCACTAGTCCCAGTTTGCGGGTTTATTACTCCTAAAAATAAGTAAGGAAAGTAACGGGGCCTTTCAACACTCATTAACCTTGGTCCCTGCTTACCTGAGGCAGGTGCAGCTGCAGTCCCTCTCTGGGTATGGGCTGTCTGGACGGGGCCTGGTCCAGCTGCATGTTGAACAGAGCGGACAGAGCAGCCTGCGCCGCCCGGGCCTTGGCCAGCTTCTTGTTCCGCCCAGAACCCTGGAAGTTCTGCCCGTCCACCGTCACCGACATGACAAAGTTCTTGGCGTGGCTCTCCCCGCTCTCTGACACAAAGTCGTACTTGAGGCCCGGCCGCAACTCATTGAGGATCATGACAGGGTTCTTGCCGCTTGTAGGGGACATGAAGGTGGAGGGGACTGGAGGTAAGGGGGCCTGGATCAGGTTCGGGACGGGGGAGGGGAGCAACGGGTACTCGACTCCCAAAGAGCTGAAGGAACCGTTGCTGTTGGACGTGAGATAAAAGGGGTCATCTGCGGGGGGGGATGTCTCGAAGGCATTAAAGAGCATGTCTGGGAAGTCGGCCTGGTCCGAGGTGAAGTCCGTGTGGACAGACAGAGTCCGGCCCATGGCCATGTGGGCCTCAGAGGCGTTGGGGAACTGGACGAAGGAGCGCAGGGCTTTCTCTGCTGCGTTCAGCTTGGCCTTCTTCTTGGTGGAACCAGCGCCCTCGAAGAACTGCCCGTTGACCTCCACCGTCATCACGAAGACGGGCGCGTGGACCGGCCCGGTCTGAGAGAGCAGTTTGTACTGCAGCCCCGGCTTGATCTCATTCAGCTGCATCAGGGCGTTCTTAGGCAGAATGGGCCCGGGGATTTTCTTACGCTTCTTGGGCTTGTACTTGGAGTGTGCATGCCCATTATTGCCCTCCTCTAAGGGACGTTTCCTCCCACCCCCAGCACTCCCATTGGGGAGTTGAGCAGCCTCAGCCGCAACCCCCTCTTTGGAGAAGAGGTTGTCCAAGTTGCGATTTTCCTTAACATCTGTGCTGCATGAACCTGCGGTGCCCAGAAAGAGTAACTTACAATGCCTTCGTTGCAGGATCTTGTAAATGTAAAATTTAGAGATTCCTTTACCTTTCTTTGCAACTGAACAAGTGATGTGTGTTCCTTAATTATTATTGAAATATAATGTATAGTGGCAGTTTAGCTTTTGGTACAAGTGTATTCTAAACACATTCATATGTCAATGAGGGTGTTTCACACAAACATAAGTAATATTTGCAAATGTATACAAAATTACGTAAATCGTCATTTAAAGACTTAATTAGCATGCAGGCTATTTCTATACTCATATTTAGCAAACTAAAGGATAAACTATTTACACCAGGAGCTTTGAGAACATATTTCTACATGTCTTTATCTGGACGATGGTGTGTCTTGGGAACACATATCACCCGGCCCTGTTAACAAAGCTGATGGAACTTAATGTAAACTTCCATTTATAACATCCTCCAGCAAAAGCTCGATAGGTTACTCCTTTCGGTGCTCAGGACAGAAAACAATCCTATAAGACGCAGGTTTAGAGAGGTTGTGGGGAGAGATGGAGGTGCAAACAAGGGGTGTCAACTTTTCCAAAATAATGCAGTACTTCAACTGAGCCTGAAGAGAAACACCAGAGAAATTATTCACTTTTAGCATCTAAAACCAGACAAAAACACTTGAGCAGGAGCAGGAAGTGGATTATTTGGATAAAAGACAACAGAAAAGCTTCAAAAATACATATGTTTATATTAAAAGATGATCAAATATCTTAGCACCTAGCTCCCTTCAGAATGTTTTAGCGTATTTCAGCTTTGGTTTTTGCAGCAGGTTATCAAAATCTTTCATTCACAGTTCCTCTTTCTCTCTTTACAATACTGACTGACTGAACATGGCCAATACACTTAAAAACAAGTGAAATGTTCACAATGTTCCCGTTTTTAAACAACTGACTTGTTAGCCACATTTAGCATTGTTTTCCATTTGAAATGACTTCCTCTTAAACCAAAGAGTGCAGTGCTTGCACAGAGTTTGTCGTTCAGTCACAGCCAGATGCCGACTGCAGGCAGAGTTAATAACAAGCGTGCCGGAGGGGGACGGAGCTGAAACATGAAAAAACACAATAGCAGATAATGCCTTGAGCAACCAGAGGGGGGGGATGATTATAGGTCTGCTGGGGAACGTGCTGTTATTGTTGCTGTGGCTCAAAGACAATCACTGAAGCAGAAACAGACCCTTTATCCATTAAAAAGTGAATTCACTGGCTGCAAGGTCAATGCTTCCAAATGTGCCTTGGCATGTCCAATTGAGATATCAACACGTTACCTTGCATCTGAAATGTCTTCTACGTGACTTCCTGTTTAGGATTTTAGGCAAGCAGCCCGTGGATAACCTTGAGCAACTCTCCCCACACTCGGCCATAATCCACATGTTCTCCCCATGCTTTCACTTTGGCTTACATGGATTACTGCTGTGCCAACACAAATAAAGAAAGTGTTTAAAGAGGCCTGTCAGTTAGCATCAGCAGCACCGGTCACGATGCTAAACGGGCTATCTGGATCCCAAGCAAACAGACTCCCTTCAGCCTGACAACCAGCCCCTTTCTGAAAACACTTCGTTGAAGCTTGATCCTATCACTTTTGCAAATAAATAGCCAACTTATCAAACCGTTTCCCTGTGAATGAGCTTTCAACAGGCACCTGAATGGAGTGAGATGAAAGTAAAGCTGTTTGCCCTGCATTAACTTCACTTGGAATCTGTCTTTTCCATAAAATCCCATCGAGGCTTATCGTGGGTCAGGTGGTGTTAGGGCTGAAATAGACCTACCTTACAGTGCCAGAGAGGGGGCTTTAGGGGGCTTTTTTTGTTTAGAGCAACGGGAAAAGCAGAGAAATGTACCATCAAAGTGGAGTGAAAGCTCACAGTAGATACACCCTGACCCTGGGATTAAGCTCCGACCTCCCTCTGAGCTGGCCAAAAGGAATTGGACGGTATATTTCCAAGGAGAGTCCCACAGCAATGCAATGCACCATGGGTATTTAACTCAGTGCTTCCTTTACCTACATGCATGCATCTCATACACAACCTGGACAGTATGTAATAAAGCATGAATGTACACGTGGATCACTCACTCATGCTTTTGACTTGCCCCCCCTCAGTGGTGGGCAGCCTCTGTTGGATTGGAGCGGTCCGATCTCCCACTCGACCTGAAGGGCACACAGCACATGGTTACCAGTGGTGGAAAGTACACTTTGGAGGTATTTTAAATCAGTAGATCAGTCCTTCCATCATGCTGAAACCGTTAGCGCTGCAGATGTCTATACAAACCTTTAGAACACATGTCACTTTGGCACTTCTCCTTTGCTCGTATGTCACACCTCATCACCCAGCTCACCCTCCACCTGGCCCTTCCTACTCCTGTCAGTCTGTCTGCTGATAAGACACCAGGCTGATTATTTCCTGCCTTTTAATCAGGAAACTGTCACTCAGCACGCCATCTGTGCCAATAAACAAACTGAGGCGGGCAGAAATGACGCAATCATTATCTTTGATTAACTGAGATGTGGGCTGTCAGCGTACACAGGGGGCTACTGGACCAACCTCAAAATGGTGTTCACACTTTAAGATTCCTTCATATCAGAAGACCTCATAAAGTCCCTACTGTATGTGTATATGTTTTTTTTGTCCCTGTTGAAAGCCATTTATGGAAATATTTGTTGTTCTACAGAGAAATGAGTCCTCAAACCCGGAGATAAGTTAGCATTTTACCCCTTCCTGTTCGATTCCTCCTCAAAGGTTTTTGTGTCCTACATTTAAACGTCATCACTTCTCCACTCTTTACTCAGCTAGCTCAATTCAAGCCAATGAAATCTGCCTTCCTCTGGAAAAGGAGCAGAGGCTGTTGGGAAAAAGGCTTCGCACTCGCTGTGTAATCGCTCTCTGTCGACAGATATGTCCTGCTGCCCCGCTGCCACTCAGCTGTTGGCTCCTCACATTAGAAATGACAACGTTATCAGGCTGCTGCCGCCGCTCTATTGTGCGAGACGGCAGCAAGGGGAACACGGCTCAGGTTCTCCAGATAGTGCGGGGAGGAAATGAACTCAGAAGTAAAATGCCAAGAAATGGAGTTAAGCGAGGATTGTCACAGAAATGTAAAACTTTTGAGTGTTTGTATTATTCAGAAACCCTGTTTACCTCATTATAGACTCACATACATCTCACAAACTCTGCTTTATCTCACCCAGACAGTGTTTTAAAGGTTTCAAGTTGTAAATGTTTCTCCTTTTCCTACAATAAGGGATGAGGATAAGTGGACATCCCCACTGTGTTGCATGATGGGAGAATACTGTTGAATTTCCAGATCATCAGACTTTTATCATGCAGTATGAAACACTTTCTGTTGAGCATTTATACAAAGCGCCGTCTCCAAATTGGAAAGAAGATGATATAGCGGAGGATAAACAACGGGCAGAATGGGAAGTGGCACGTATGTTAAAGGAACCCGTGGCCTCCCATGCATGGCATAGGGAGAATACGTTTATCAGATAAGCAGGAAAGAATCAATCTATTTACGCTGCGTAGTGCCACACTCCTGCCTCGGATCATGCATCACAGCACTAACAACCACCGCACTACCACACTGATGCTGTGTACACTCCAACAACAGGAGAATATGAAAGTGAAGTGAAAACCAATCAGGAAGCAACAAAGCAGACATGTTTAGCTCTCTCCTCTGAAGAAACCTAACATTATATATATCCATGTCCTATGTTTTCCTCGTGTGCAGCCCTAAGGAGACCCCATCAACAAGGAGAGAGAATCTGGACCACGGCCATCAGCGACTGAGCCGACAGTGATAGATGGATTTCAGAGGCTTTTTCTGGTGCTTGAGGCGAGTTACAATCAGAACCAGGGGGGGGGGAAACAACTGCAAACAGCTGTCGGAGAACTCTTTTAGCGACCTAATGTAGACGGATTGATGCTGAGGAGAAGCAGACAGCGAAAAGGGAAAAAACCGTGGTCTCAAACATGTGATGGAGACAAAAAGAAAAAACGTTGTTGTACACAATGCTTTTCTCACACACACACTCAGTTTCGCCCCGTGAAATGACATTTTGAGGCGTGCAAAAATTGGAGGTGATGAGATGATGGATGAGGAGGGACGGAGCAGAAACTCTAGGATGTATCGTAGAGTCACAGCAGAAGGGAACATGTGTATTCCTTTAGTTCAAAACACGTGGGGCTAACATTCAAATAATTGTAAAGTTGACATTTTGACAGATTACTATGCCACAATTAAGTCACTTTAATTTCACTTTCACAGGCTTCTGGAGTTGGATTGAAATGTGACATTTACAGCAGATTACAATACAACTCACAACAGGTCTGCGTGATGTAAAACCACCGTATTCAATCACAGGAAATAAATGAATAAGGCTACTCACTTTTTTTTAATGAAGACCTAGAGCAGGGGTGTCAAACTCAATTTCATCGCGGGCCACATCAGCGTTATGGTTTCACTCAAAGGGCCGGTTGTAACTTTAAGACTATATAAAAATACATATATACACACATACACATACACACATACATTTATTAGATTACATGAATGGATGGATTATTTTCAGATACGTCTGAAAGCAGAAGTCTAGGGCAAATAATTGCAAGTCTCTTCAGTGTGTGCATGTCACACAATTATTTAAAAAGAAAAGCCAAATTCTGGAAAAACAAAAAAAAGAAGTAACATTTTGAAAAAAAAGTAACATTTTGAGAAAAAGGCAAATTCTAAGAAAAAAAAGCATATTCTGAAGAAAAATTGAGAATAAAGGCAAATTTGAGATGCATTGTGGGACATGTAGTTTATGGGCAACGTGCTTCTGTAAAGTAGCATGTAACCGTATAATAAACATATTATATTCTTTGCAAGCTCTTGTGGGGCCACATAAAATGAAGTCGCGGGCCGGATTTGGCCCCCGGGCCTTGAGTTTGACACCCCTGACCGAGAGGTATTCGACTCTCCACATATCTGTATGTTTGAGAAACGTTGTTTAAATGGCAAAGTTGCTAGAAAATAAACCCCTCACTGCTCCCCAAGGACACTTGCATGCGTCAGCCATCTTTCTATCATTCCCACTGTGAAATCTTTGTGACGGCTTGTATTTGCTGAGTGGTCCTGGCAGTAGCTGCAGGCCCACTGCTGTATCAGTTCCACGCACTAATACCACCAGAGTCCTGACCAGGTATTTGTGCTGCTGACAGCAGACTGTTCACACCACTGTAGCGCCCTCTCACCGGGGGCCAAGGAGAAGAGGTGAAGCAATTAGGAGGATTATCTACTTCCATACTGCAGCGGCCAGGCAGACAGAATGCTGGGATAGCGCTTTGTGAATGAAGCCTCGGGGCCAATAACCACAGGAGCCACATGTGAAATAAATGTCAGGGTCATGAGAGGTTAGCTGGAAGTGAGCACCACACTCTTTAAAGATACAGATGTGTGACAGATGAGTCTGTATACTTCGAACACTCCCCTAAACTCCAGGGGAAAAGGAAAAAAGCTGAATGGTACAATGAGTCAACAGAGAGACTATCAATGGAGCACACTCCCTGACACTCCTGGCAACAAATCATACAGACACTGGACTGATACCTGGAGAAGCTCCATAGGGTCAGCCGCCACCCCTTCCCTCTTTTTTTTACTGGAGTTCAACTTCTCTTCGGACAATGGTTCAGATGGGACATTTGGGACTTGCTTGGGGGACTGAGCTCTGAAGCTCACACATCTGGAAGACCAGTGACCACCAAGTGACCAGGATCTGTACAAATGAAACACACATTCTCAGTCTTACAACCTGACTGAGAAACATGCATCCCATCCTTTAGAGGTGAATACAATTGTAAAAAAGATACTATAGCCACTACCAGAACGTGTTATGCTACTGCATGTAAGCTGTATATAACTCCAGCTGTAAATACAGATATGTAGCACTGAGATATTTCCCTGCATGCCTCAGGGCTCTTTGCTGTCTATTTAGCACAACTGTGCCAGTTTATCCCCCCCCCCGCCCAACCTCACTGCTCGCCTAGCACACACTCGCATTTCCAATTAACGCTTTTGTCACAGGTAGCCCTGCCTCCTGGGCCTGAACATGGTTGCTGGGACACGGAGACATGCACGCTGAGGAGCCAGTGGAGCAACAAGGGTTAGAGCGGGACTACATCTTCCCACTACTCCTATTTGGGGAATGGAAAATAAATGATTTGCTGCCCAATTGAGTGATTCCCTGGAAGTCCACAATTACATACATACAAATAATTCAACATGTGTAGCAGCCAAATCCTTTGAGCTTCGTCATTTTTCCTGACTTTCTTTATTTTTCATAGGGTCTCAGAAGGTCTGCCTGAGAGACCCTCGCCCTCGCTGACCCTCCTCCCCCCCATTCTCTGTTCATCACCGGCCCCGCCGCGCACAACAGATGGCTATCACTGTTCTCTGCACCCCAGTCAGGGCCAGGCCAGCAACCTGCTATCTCCCAGTTGGGGCTCAGGGCTGATGTTGAATTTCACACCCCATGGCATCAGGATTAGCCAGAGCCGGAGCTGATGGACAGGCAGGTGGAGGTGCAGGGTGGATTTATGGATTTATGGACGTAATGTCATTTCGCCCGGAATGTTCATAGGTTAGTACTTCCACTATTTGGAAGAGAGTTACCCAGCTGTGAATGCCAGTATGCAAATCATTCCTGTATTTAGTTACAAAGCTGTCAAACAAGGACATGATGGAGAGGAAAAAGCTGTTGCATACCCCTAACCCTAACCAATGTACACCACGGTATTCATACAAAGAAGACACCACTACTGAAAAGCTGTGTTGAAGCTCGCTTGAAGAAACCAGCAGCTTGTGGTCAAACACAGATCTTCTGGAGGGAAAATGGCTCTGCATATTATGGAAAAATACCTTACAGTAAGGTTTGGAGGTAAGATTGTGGTGGTGCACCAATTGGAAGGTGGGTGGTTTCAATCCCCTGCAGTCAACATGTTCAAGGGTCCTTGTTCAAGATACTGAACCCCAAATGGCTCCAGAAATGGCATCATTTGTGAGGATAAATGGCAGAAGAATCCCAATGATGATCCATAAAGTTAATAAGTGGAATATTTATATTTTCACCTAAGGACATGCTTATGACGTTTTACTACTTTTGTACGAATCATCAAAGAAAGTGTTTTATGGATCTGCTGCTGCCTTTGTATTTCATTATGATGAATCATTTCCTGTTGATCTGGGAAATGTGACACCCGACAGGAACATTCACACGGTTCAACAAACACGGTTCATCTGATTTGATCTGATACGATGAGTGCATTTGAAATACAAATCTTGCTTCAATTAAGAGTCAATATGAAAGACAGGTGTTGCCTCGATGCTTGGGAGCTGCCTCCTGCTCCACCTGTCTGATGGGGGGTGGTGGAGCCTGAGGAGAGGGTGGGTTATCAGCAGAGCTTCAGGGCGGAGGGGGGGGGGCTGTATCACAGATCTGAGCTGCGGTTTTGGGTCGACAGACACATCCCATAGCAGCGTGCCGTCCACGCCTCAGAGCACATCGGCTTATACCTCGTCTGAAATTCACTTTTGCTCCCAGTAGATTAAACTCACACTTCAGTTCATCTCACAACACCTCGCTTAGCAGGGACACGGAAATGATGGGCTGCTCTCTCGCCCCGCATGCAAAGTATGTACATTCCTTTACACATTAATACTGTTTAGCGCACTCCCCATGAATAACACTTAGGACAAATTGAATATTCCCGAGTGGGATACAAATATGACAAATCTGGGTGTACCTGCCGCGCTGCTTTTTGTGACCAGAGCCGGAATTTGAATTAATTTGAGGATTTAGTGCACTTGACTTTAGCAGCCAGTGAAAAATATGAGCAGAGGTTTGCAGTAATGCACAGGATGTAAGAGTGCTGCTCTGAGACTCATATGTTCACTTATATTGTCTGAGGGGTAAAGTAAATGCTTCTGCAAAAATAGGAAAATATCTCTCCAGTATTGTAATTAAAGAGACCCTATTCTGCTTTTTAGAGTTTTCACTAGTGTGCGATATAGCTTTCTGTGCATGTAAATGGTCTGCAAAGGCTAAAAACCCAGAATAGCTTCCATTGGACTCCTTTGTTTACTCCCCTAACATAACGACATCAGGGGTGTCTATATCAAAAAAAGTCATTCTTCATGTTTTAACATATACAACATATCAAATATCTGTTACCCTGTAATATCAGTGCAATACACTTCATGAACTTCATGAAATAATTGTTCTGATAATAGAAGTAGTAACGCACTAACAAAATGATCAAGACATATATTGATATGAAGTATGGATTAACAAAATATGAAGTTGCATTCTTCATGCCTCTTTGATGTTATTTTCTCATTGTCGTTTATTGGTATATCCAGTTTTCATGTAAATAATGTAGCTTTTCTTACTTTGTATCTTCTTTAACTGTGTCTATCTATCATCACAAACACAAAGGCAAATTCCTCACATGTGTTAACCTATTGGCAATAAACCTGATTCTGATAACATCTAAAAGAGTTTTAACAAATGTCATTCACCACAGCATCATTTACACTTCAAACCTATTATATTAAGCTATTTCTAGGATAAAGTTGAAAGTCAAATAAATGAAAAGATAACCACCAACAAAAGCTCTAGTAGCATCAGATTATTAAAACGTGCTCTCAGCTGCAGATAGAGTCCCTCCCTGACCCCCATCCTCCCCCAGAGGTACCTTTGCGCTCGGAGCGTTTCTTCCTCCTCCTCCTGCACCTGCGGTGGCTCAGGCAGCATGGAGCCGCCGTGGGGGGGGGGGCCGTCCAGCAGCAGAGCCATGGTGTGTCCCCTCGGCTTCCCTCAGGCTCACTCAGCCCGACGCTCAGCAGACACAACTTTACACTGAGCGGGGGGAGGCAGGGGGAGGGGCTGCCGGCACATGGGCTCGCTGCTATCAGATAAACGGGGAGGGATTTCTGCTCCTCCCCTCCTCTACCTCTCCTCTCTGTTTTCATCCCCAATCTTAAATCCACACTGAACTTGGCTTTGGAGCGCACTTCAAAAAATACCAAACAATGCCTTTCGCATTCACTTCATGACACTAGAGTAGCTACAATGAGAGCAGGGAACACTAACACAAAATCCTCCCAATCGGAGCATTAGCAGCTAAAGAGAACCACAAATGGACTTCTATATGAAACATGCTTCTGGTGAAACCTCGGGTCTATGATAGATCATTGGACAGTGGAAGAAAAACATGCATTCATATTTGTTTCTTTGCATTTTCCTTTACATTGTGAATCTGTCTATAATGTAGGAATACAGGCTTTATGAGATATGCATGATCCGTAAAAGGATGACTGACAAAGCACTCAAACTACAGGATGCTAGACAGTAAGAAAGCCAGCACTGCCCCCTGCTGGGCTGCAGTTAAAGTGAACCTTAGCGTTGTAGAACAAACTATCCACACAGGCTTTGAAGGGTACTACAGCCCCCCCCCCCCCCACAGGCGTTTTTGTTTACATTGTGTACAGGTGTGCAGTGTAACCTAAAGCAGTGTTTTTCAAAGTGGGGTCCCCGACCCCCCGGGGGGCCGCCAGGGGGGTCAAGCAAAGTTTGGGGGAAAGGGGAATTATTTTATTTTTTAGATGTTATTAATAACTGCATATCTATCAATCTACAGTTGCAAGAAAAAGTATGTGAACCCTTTGGATTCTCCACACATAGCGTTGTGTGTTCCTTCCAAACAACTCAACTTTGGTTTCATCTGTCCACAGAATATGTTGCCAGTAGTGCTGTGGAACATCCAGGTGCTCTTTTGCAAACTTCAAACGTGCAGCAATGTTTTTTCTGGACAGCAGTGGCTTCCTCCGTGGTGTCCTCCCATGAACTCCATTCTTGTTCAGTGTTTTACGTATCGTAGATTCGTCAACAGAGATGTTAGCATGTGCCAGAGATTTCTTTAAGTCTCTAGCTGACACTCTAGGATTCTTCTTCACCTCATTGAGCATTCTGCGCTGTGCTCTTGCAGTCATCTTTACAGGACGGCCACTCCTAGGGAGAGTAGCAACAGTGCTGAACCTTCTCCATTTATAGACACTTTGTCTTACCGTGGACTGATGAACATCAAGGCTTTTAGAGATACTTTTGTAACCCTTTCCAGCTTTATGCAAGTCAACAATTCTTAATCGTACGTCTTCTGAGAGCTCTTTCGTGCGAGGCATGGTTCACATCTGGCAATGCTTCTTAAGAATAGCAAATTCAAAACTGGTGTGTATTTGTTATAGGGCAGGGCAGCTTCAACCAACACCTCCAATCTCGTCTCATTGATTGGACTCCAGGTTGGCTGACTCCTGACTCCAGCTCTTGAAGAAGTCTTTAGCCTAGGGGTCCACCCTGCACTGTGAATGTTTACATGGTGTGTTCAATAAAAACATGAACACATATAATTGTTTGTGTGGTATTAGTTTAAGCAGACTGTGTTTGTCTATTGTTGTGACTTAGATGAAGATCAGAACACATTTTATGACCAACTTATGCAGAAATCAAGGTAATTCCAAAGGGTTCACATACTTTTTCTTGCAACTGAATGTGTCCTTTGATGTCAATCTTTTAATATTTTTCATTTATTCATATTTTATTTTATTGTTTTTAAATCACACGACCGCCCTTCAAGCCAATCAGAATCGAGCTGCCGCTACTGAGAGTGAAACTGAGTATCTGCTCAGCTTTTGGAGCAAGTGAGAGCTAGTGAATATTTCGATCTGCAGCTGGATGAGAGCACGGATGTCGCAAATATTGTTGTTTATATATATGAATATAAATTAGTTTATTGTTAATATTACTGTTGAATATTATATATAATATTATTAAGGCATAAGTAGCTTTCAAAAATGCTAAAAAGATATGTTAATTGTTCATATTACTGTTCAAGATTATATAATATTATTAAGACAGAAATCACTTTAAAAATATGTTTACTGTTGATATTACTGTTTAATATTGTGTTAAGAATGTTTAGACAGAAGACACAATGAATGTAATGAATGACAAACAAAAGATGAATACAAAAATGTTTTAGAACAATAACTGATTATTAATTATTAATACGAATATATATTAAGAAAATGTATTAAGCTGTATGATTAATTTGTCATATTTTCCATCATAATGTACTCATCATTTAAAAAAAGTTGTAACAGGGGGGTCCCCGCTAGAGGATAATGCTATATGGGGTCCTTGGCATGGCAAAGTTTGGGAACCCCTGACCTAAAGCAAATATGGAGTATGGAAACAGCAACTTATTGAAGTCTTAAAATATTCAAATAGCAACATTAAAGGGACACATTCATTTGAAGTACCCTCTGGCCTGTCATATACACAGCGATCAGTCACTTGAATCCAAACTCGATGCCATGAAGTTGAAAAGATGTGTCCTTTTATAGAGTGGTCCAGTGTTGATGTCATTTTGTAGGACGGTATAGAAGCAAGAATCGCTCCATTGCCCTCGAATCGCTCCATTGCCCTCGCCAATGATACTTAAAAGGTTTTGTAATAAATGCAATCGGCAGAAGCAATAAGCTAATGTTAGGCTATAGAGGAGCTACATCACGGTCACATGACTTCACGTCACCACTTGTCATCAACCGTTTTGACACACAGAAGCTTCAGCTCGTGCCTTATTTCAGGCTTCTAAGCAAAAGATGCATTGTGGGAAATGTAGTATCCAGAGTTTTGGGACCTTGACCTTTTTTATTTCTAAATGTGTACCAAATAAATAAGGGGTACCAACCTGTAAGTGTTCTTCAGTGTTCTTCACCGCCTGGAAGGATTCACCAATGTCTTGCTCTGAAATGAAAAAAGATCTGATATGAATACAATGATTTCTTATATTTTTTATAAAGAGTGGAATAAAAAGTTGTGTCTGCGTCAGTGTGCAGGGTGCAGTGACGCAGTGTGGCCTACAGGTGGAGCAGCAGGACTTTACATCCCTTCTCTTCTCTGCATCCAAACCACCGACTGTATATCAGATCTTGGCATTCACAATGGAAGGAATGTTTTGGGAACAATTGGGAAGAGGACATTCCAACATTTCAGCAACCAGTGAAACTCGGTGTGCCTGAGAGGATCCTGCGCTGACAAGCAGAGATAACATCCAGAGATGCAGATCACAAAGGAGCTTTGGGTGTGACGCTCGCAATCCTGCAGGGTGTCACAGCGTCTACAGTCACTTGAATCAAGCTGGGGAAAAGACGCTGGGATGTCTGCTGGGGAAAAGTCCTTTTTTAAATAAAGATAACTGGAGACAAATGAAGATCAGAGAATATAGGAGAGGGTGTTTCTGCAGACAGGCCTCCCACGTTTTAACAGTCTGGTTATTGGGAATAGAATTGGATTGTTTTCCAGTTAACAAAAGCAAATTGGATGTTAGATGAAAGTCATCTTAGGAAATGTTAAATTAGGGAAGTTATATCAGCTACTAACTCAGTTTAGCACAAAGACAGGACACAGAGAAAAAGCTGCCCCATACAAAACAACATCTGACCTCCAAAGCTCAGTTATTCATATTTTATATATGATATTATATATAATGTATGCAAAAATAACCACTCAATGTTAGTGCTCAGACTGTGCTTTGCTTATCCATTTCATTACATCTTGCTTTTTTATTTTAATATGAATGTGTGTTGTTTGAATGCTTGTATGAAATGTTAAACCGTCTCTGAGTATTTAGAAAGGTGCTATACTAATTACATGTATTGTTGTGTGGGTGTATCCAAGAAAAATCCAATAAATCCTAAATAAACGTGATGTATTTATGTTAAGATAAGAATGTAAATATAACAGATATAACTACGCGTCATTTCCTCAGATACAGATTCACAAACCTAAGGCTGCACAATTAATGGAAATATTATAGAAATCACAATATGAAATTGTGTCATATCCAAATTATGATAAGTGCAGAATTTGATAAAGGCAAGATATGAGAACATTTTATTTTATATTAATTATCATGGTGCTACAGAGAAGTCCCAGCTTGACAAGACTAAATAAAATATCCTTGTTTTGTACAGATCCACTTGGAGAAAAACACACCATGATCATGACCTATGTTTTCATTTGAATAATGTTAAAAAATGGTCCTAAATATTTTTAATTATATCACGATTGCAATATAAGTTTAAATAAATTACAAGTAGTTATTTGTAAAATGCTACTGTACATTATTGAGCATCATTTCTAGTTCCCAGCCCCCCCCCACACTCCTTTCCACAATGGTCTTAATAGTATGTGGTCAAGGCCAGAGCAAACGATCCTGATGCATGGTTCATTAGGTCTTTAAATGCAACATGGGTGAAAACTGAGGGGATGGTTCAATACATCTGAAGAGAAGAAGCAATAGATGGGATGAGGGATCATAGAATGTGGGTGACAGGACTCTCTCTGACATGTACTCCGAGTCAGCGAGGTCTAATGGCCACGCGGTCAGGGAATCAGAGCTCTGAATGTGAGGGGACGCGTGCAGGAGAACAGAGGACCAGCGGCCCGGAGGCTGATAGGATGAACGCTTCTCCCCTTCTTCCACACGCAAGAGAAGCAAACACGGGGGATGTCTGTAACCTACTTTCATGCATTTGCATATTTTTCAGAGAGGGTATAAGACGCAGTTTTATCGCGGGGGGTTGAAGGGATGGCGATGGGGGTGGGGCAGTTTAGGGGCCTGACAGGGGACGTGCTGGTTGGAAAGCCAAAGTCAGCGTTTCAACCCCCTCGAGGTCACCTTGATCCAATCGAGCCAAACGTCTATGAAAGAGCCTCTTGATATTACTAATGTATCCATTGATGAATGTATTTATGAACGCTGTCTTTTCAATGGCCCATAAACATTTACAGTGGTGAATATTTCATCACAGATCAGCACATGAAGAGGACAACGCAGTAAATCCCATAATACACGCCGTACTGTGGGGGAGGTGTCCGCAGAGACAGACAGTTTCACCCCCAAACCTGATCTGTTTTCTTGGATACTATCAAAAGGGGCATTACGTACAAATGACGAATTTGGAGAGGACACACACATCACTGATGAATTAGATGTCTTATTTATTCAAACCTTGCAGTGGATTGCAGCTGCAGTGTGTTAGCGTCACCTCTACAACTTCCTCACCTTCCCATGAGGACACAACAAGCTCTTCAACTGAACTTCCTTAAAGAGGCACGTTTACCAAGTGTGTGGAGTCTGAACAAATACCCATCATCGGTCAGAAAAAACACTACTATGGAACATAATCCCTATTCAATGGGCTGTATACCAATCGGTGTTACTACCAGGCTGCTAGCAATTAGCACTGAATATTTGTTTTTGTCTATAAAAAAATAAATGCCTATTACAATTGTCCAATGCAAAGTTACTATATTCATATTGCATGTTTTGGTCGACCTACAGAAAAGACAATTTGTAAACATGTTTGTTTTCTGAAGATCTTCCTGTATGAAAACATAAGAAACATTACATTCTCAAAAGGCACAGCTTTCATTTCATTTTCACCTTGACTCATCTTTGTGTTCTCAGAGTTTCCCTCCTCTCAATTGTGCTCCGCTTTCGGTCCTGCTATTTTTATTCAAGGAGAGCTCATCTGATCTGATCTCAGCACTCTTCTAGCTGCTTCTGTGATTCAAGTGTGTGGAAGGTTAAATTATAGCAATCATTTCCCCGGCCCGAGATACTGTCGAGCAAAACTACGGGTCAAAGAGCCAACTCACAACCCCAGAGCGTGCAGGGATGATGATGACGAGGATCTTACTATTGTTGGTGCTGAAGGAAATCATGCAGGGTTGTTAGGGAACTCAAAGTACACTTGGTTTTTCTCCTTTTTTAAGAAGATGTTCTCGATAAAGTATCTTTTTTACGTATTTCTTTCTTTCATAATATCTTTTCGTTAACTAAAATATCCAAACAATTCCATTTATAATAGAGATAAATGGGAATAAACAAACAAATCCTCACATTTTAGAGGGACAACCATTAAGTGTTGGTATTTCATTTAAATTAACAGTACATTTATTTTTTAATAGGAGCATAAAACATAATATTATATAAGCAACAGCAGTGCATGTTCAGTATGTAGCAGCTATGAAGGTCATGTTGATATGCATTGATTTAAAACCACTTTTTTATGGTTTGATTCCAATATATTTTAGACACAGTAAATATTTTTGGTTTATATGATATGATATATTTGTAACTCCTCCGTCAGAGCATCTCAATGCGCTAACTCTAACCCCAACCCTTGTTAGAGTTAAATATATGGAACTTTAAATTATTAAAGAATCATTTTGAAATATATTTATAAGACACAATTGTGTAGATGGTGATATTTCATTTGATTGAGTGTGTTATCCTTCAGAATAAAGGTATCATTATCGGGCCCCTCTCGGGTTTTTTCCTCATGTCGGAGCTGTTATCCGCGCAGCGACTCGGCTCGATGAGTCCCCGGAGCGTTGTTGGGTTACGCGGCACCGAGGCCGCTCGATGGCCTGTCTCTTACTGTATTGGAAAATGTCTGTCTTGATGGAAGCGTCCGGGCCGAGGGGACACTTTGCTGACACGCAAACTGCACACCCTAACGCTCACACATCACCCGTGTGCCATTTACTCTCTCACTCTCACTGCCATGCTTTATTGACATCCAGATGAAATTGAAAGTATGGGGGGGGGGGGGGGGGGGGCCCGGGGGATGGGGACAGGTCACATTCCTGCGACCTTCAGCATTACAACACATCGATCAGTGACTCACTTTCACTTATACGCAAGAACAATGAAAAGATAACCGTTGTGGTCACGGCTGTTTCCATGGGGTCTGTCGGTTGTGAAAACACTGTACTCCCTGCTGAGATGTAAAAAAGCCCAGATGAGTGAAACTAAAGTACCTGCTGTTAGGATGAGTTTCAAAAAGGATCAAAGTGATTGCAGCAGAAGCACCAATTCACCTACATTACCTTATTTGGCACAATTTCAATGTTTTTGAAATGGCTATTCCCTATAGTTTCGAGAACCCGCACAATAATCTTTCATTAACCTTGAGACATATTTAGAGCTGTATCTGTATGACGGCTAACACTACCATTGAAGTCGTTAGAAGTCGGATCTGTTCTTTAATAACATCCCTTTGGCCTCTGCTACACTAATGAATGCACAGAAGCGAATGTGGAGCTGCTTTTGCTCTGATATTAAAAGGGACACAGCAGGTAGGGATAATAAATACGTGAGGAGAGCAGAGTTTATCACCACTAACTAATTATCTGCTGTCTTGCTTCCAGCGCCACCAGTCCTCCCCGCCAGTGAAGAGTTACGATTGGACATGCATCGCAGCAAAAAAGCCCTCCACTGCTCTCAGCTTCCTCTCCACCCCAAACACGCTTATTAAATTCATCACAAAGTGTAACAGAGATTATCTGTTTGTTAGCTAATGAGGCCCTGACCCCCTGGAACACCTGGTGCACAGGTAAACACTCTCTAATACAACAGCTAACAGCTTTCTGATATTCCTCTTACACACAGGAGCACCATAACCATTCTCATCTGTCACTCTCACATAAGTGATGTATTCAATATGAGCATTAGGGCAGCAGAATGAATCAATCAATTAAGCAAACAAATCTAAGGTAGTTATTCTTCCAAATTGTGCGGGGCTTAAAAATGCTATGTGGTTTTTGGGATGACTAGAATGCATTCAACACATATACAGTATATAAAACAAGCATGCAGTTGATAGCACTATATTATGGCTAGAGTGAGCTAACTGACTTTAAAATGTATTATATCCCACAATGCAATGCTTTGC